AAAAAAACCCCAAACTGAATACTTTTAAAAATTATTGTGAGGATTAAATAAAGAATAATAATATATTAAATTAATGTAACCATAGGCTCATTTAGAGCCAGTTCAAACAGATGCCTTCTCTTATCAACAAAGTGATTAAGAATTGTCTTTCAGAAAATTTGCAAAGTCGCATAGCCAGAGCATGTGCAGAAGAAGAAATCTTGACATGAAACGGCTACAGAACTAAAGACTCTCCTCCCTGTGACACCAAAGGACTGGGGCACAACTGGAACTTAAAAGCACACTCTTATCAGAAGTGAGGGGTTGATCATTCAGGAAGATCCAGTGTTAAAATTATTTCCCCAGGGCCGACCCCGTTGCCAGTGGTTAAGTTCAGCATGCTCCACTTTGGAGGCCTGGGTTTGCATGTTCAGATCCCAGGCACGGACCTACACTGCTCCTCAGCCATGCTGTGGCAGTGAACCCACATATAAATAGAGGAAGACTGTCACAGATGTTAGCTTAGGGATAATCTTCCTCAGCAAAAAAAAAAAAAAAATCCTTTCCCATCTTGCCAGAAACGTTTAGAATCCAATTGTAAATGTTTAGAATCTCATCATAAATGTTTAGAACCTCACCATAAATGTGTGAAGCCCATCAATTAAAGGCTTTCCTGCCAGTGTTTCCATGTACCAGCCCTTTCTCCCTAACCTCTTAAATTTCACCCCAAATCCTGAATCAAGGAGAAGATCTGCGGACTCACGCCCCTCTGTCTTCCTGCAGATAGATCTCACAGAATAAAGCTGATCTCTTTTCCCAAAAGCTAATGCTGTAACTAATTGGCTTGTTTATGCTCATTGGGCAAGAGAACTCCAATTTTATGCGGTAGCATTATTGTTTTTTATAAATTCTACTTTTTCATTTTAAATATGTAGTGCACATATGGAAACATCTGGAAATCTGATGCCATTTTCAAGAAAAACAGATAATTTATAATTTTTTCTTAATCTGAATGATTTTGTGTTGTGTACATCTAGCTTTTGCCACTTGAAAGATGAACCTGTATGAGGAAGAATAAGAAAAGACAAACCTTTAATGGTATAATTGAAATCTTTCTGGCCACAGCCCAGAAATGAAACTACAGCCCTGAGCAAATATTATCAATTCTCATCATCACCTGAAGTGTCCTTTATCTCTGGCTCCTGAGATCATCTGTTATGAGAGGCAAAGCAATTGAAATAGTTCACCTGAGCTCAAATAGATATAGTAGAACCCTTTTAAGATGAGTTCATGCTAAGAAATGTTCCCTTAAGACATTTAGATCACACACATTCCCATATATATATTTTTTATTTCCCGTGAAAAAATTTACTGTTATACTTGAAGAGTTAGCCTATGGAGGGATGGAAGTGCTTTGCTAGACTGCCTTATTTCTCAGAAATATATTTATTATGAAAACAATTACTTTAAAAAGAATTGTGTTAGCTCATGAATGTGGGTACATTTTTTTATGCTTATATTTCTAGGGTTAATATTTTTTAACTTTTTATTGAGATTATGATAGTTGTGAAATTTCAGTTGTACATTATTGTTTGTCAGTAGTGTTGTAGGTGCACCACTTCACTCTTTGTGCCCACTCCCACCCCTCTTTCCCCGGGTAACCACTAATGTGTTTTCTTTGTCTGCATGTTTAACTTCTACATGAGTGGAGTCATACAGATTGTCTTTCTCTATCTGGCTTATTTCACTTAACATAATATGTGGGTGCCTTTTTAATAGAACTATATATGTGTCTCTATTCTCTGCTTGCAGTTGTGTAGTGAACATCTTCATAGAGGTCATGTAACCTTAATATTTTCTTCCAAGGTTGGGTTGCTCATCTGCGCTCCACCACACTCCTTTTAGAGTGAAGAGATAATAAACTATTTGAGCAGGGTAGAATTGGGGAAAAAATATGTAACATATCTAAATAGGAAAATCCTAACTGCAAATTTTCTGTGATTGGTGTTTTGAGAGGAAAGAAGCAATCAGGAGAGAGAGACATACAGAGTTTAATGGGTGAGGGAGGGGGACAAAATCTGAATATCAATTGCTTGTTACCTCAATTCTGTTCATTTAAAATCAACTTAAATATGTTCTTTGGGTCTCTTCACATAAAGTATTCATTCAGTAAGTTGAATAAACAAGTAACCAATTAAGTTTAAAAGTGTGATTTTAGATGATTACCATCAATATTTTTCTTCCCAAACAGCCAGTATTTTTCTGTTTCTCCTTCAGAGTCTTGCCTACCCCTATCAATCACAGACACTGCATGAGCTGCCCTCCTTTCTCAGCATGGCTTCAGAGGCCAAGAAGTTTCAGATCTGAGTCCTGTTACAAAGAAACAGAAATATCCTTTCCTTTGGTGTAACTCCTCCTCCACATCTGCAGCTCTCAACTGCGTAGCATTTTTTTAGTGAAATGTTTTCATTTTGATTAAGCTCTTTTCTCTCTTTCTATATGTGGTAATGGGTTAAGTTAAATAAGGGGGAATTGTTTTAGAAGTGTAATAGGTTGTCTGAAAAAGGCTTCTCAACCTCTTTCCCTCTGTCTCTTTCTCTCACACTAATACACACACACACACACACACACATTCCACACACTCCAGACTGAGCTGAACCATAATCCACCTCTAATGAATTTCACCAGAAGACAACATAACATTGATTATATGAAAATAATATATAGACATATGAAAACTGCCCCCCCCCCCCCGCCCCCAAGAATTAGGTTCTGGACCTGGAAAAAAAAATCTCCTCTACATTTTCCTTAATTTCCCCAATCCTAGGCCTTTCCCCAAATTTTTCACTCCCCAGCCTTTTCAAAATGCACACATCCTTGAATATTTGATCTTTTATGCAGATTATTAGCAGCCTTGTAACAGCTGTCCAACTTGTTTAAGACCTAATTAAAAGGGAAACTGAAGCAAGTGAATCATTTCTGCTTCTATTGAAGAAAGGACCAAGCAACAACAAAAAAAGAAAAGAAAAAAAAAACACCCTGTAAATTCCAACCCCTAAAATGGTGCGCACAATTTTCAGAATATATTGATGGAAAAGGTCTCGACTCTGATAAGAAAAGTCGGCCAAACAGCTGACTTTTCCGAGAAGCAGCATTCTCACGTTCTCTCCCCTCCCAGACGTTTGTAGAACTTGGTTTTTGTAAGCTCCATCTGAGTTTGAGGAACCCGGCGATTCCTTCCCTGGGAAAAGCCTGAGCACCGGTGCTACAGCAGCACCAGTGACCCAGCGAAGAACTGGCCGCTACCTGCAGATCAGGTTCGCACAGAGCCTCAGAGACCCAAGATTTCTATCTCTCTCTTTCAAAATGCAACTGGTTATTTACTTGTATGCATTTCAAATTTGTCCGAACAGATGCGGAAACTTTGTGAGTGTGTGTGAGTGTCTGTGTGTGGTGTGCGCGCGCCAGGCGGCCAGTGCGTTTTCAAGAGCACTTACGAATCGTATTGGGATTTCTCCCTGCCCCCTCCCTCCTTTTCCGGTTCTCAGTGAAAGCTTTCGGGTCTGGAATCAAAGACGCAAGTGTGCATTGTGTTTTCACCTCGCAGACTTAAATAACGTTCAAGAAATATCTTCAGAGAAAGCTAACACTCAGCGACCAAATTGACTAAAATTCTATACCAAGTTTAAAAAAGAAAACCATGTACCTGAATTATATACCTTGCAGCAAAAAATTCATACCCAATCATGATATTATAGGAAATATGTTTGATGTGAATATATGTTCCAAATAGCCACTTTCACCATGCGAAAAGACAAAAAAAGCTTTCAAAGACAGCAAATAGCATAAAACACTGTACTGCAGAGACGGAAGATATGCATTTAAAGCACCGATGAAAATGGCGTGCAGTATAATTACCTCAAATTGCTGTTCGCTTGACACCCTGACACTAATTTTATTCAAGCCATTGGGAAATAAATGATTTAAAAGCACTCCTTTCCAAAAGCTAGAGCGAGTGGGGGCTGTGAGGTCGTTCAGGAAAGGAAAGGGTAAAGTTTCCAGCACGCAGAAAGAATTAAATAATCCATTTAAAATAAGCGTCTGTGTGGATCGACAGCCTTTAAAGCCCACATTTTTAACGCTTGCCCTGTACGTGGATTGATTTTTTTTTTTCCTTCAGCATTCCCTCACCAGATGGATTTTTGCTACTGCAGATCAGCAGAGGGTGTCAGATCTTTCAGAGTGCACCAGGCTGGAACGAGCAGAGCTTCTTAGCAACTCTCTTCTAGCCCCCCCTCCCCGTTCTCGCGCTCTGTCCCTCCCTCAGACAACTCGCCCCCCACCCTCCGCCCCCATCCACGTAATTCCGAAAGAGCAGGAGAAGGAGAAGGAGAACAAGAAAAGAAGAGCTAGTAACCGAGAGCTGGCGCCCAGAAAAAAGGCTGAAAAGGACCAAAGGAGAGGAAAGGAAAAGGATGGACAGCCACAAAACGCAGCGATTGCGGAAATTTTCCAGCGCCATTGGCTCGGCAGCGTGAGTCCTTCGAGCGGGCGTGATTTCAGCACCGGGGGGACTGGACAGCACCTCTGGGGGCCTTCTGGGCAACCCGCAGCCACGGCAAGAACTCCATCAGCAACCTCAACAGCAGAAGCCGAAAACCCTGCTTTGTATCAGAGAGGCAAGGTCAGTCCGACGCACAGCCATGCACAGGCAGTGCGCCTGTACTACGCTGCAAACCCTCTGCTTGTTTCTCTAACATGCACTTGCTTCTAATTACTAGCATTGTTCCCTTCCTGATTAGTGAGGACCACTATACGAGATTCTGTAAGGGTGTATTTTCTAACTTATGTGTATATATTTAACTTCTTTTTGGTTATTTTTAAGGGGTTGAGGGGGAGCGGGATTATTTTTTTTTCTACTTTTTTTATTTTTTTTTTTTTGCTTGCCTTGCACTACGTGCCTGGATAGTTTGTAGATATATTAATTGACTGGCGCCTGGGTTGTTGCAGTGCGGGGGGGTTAGGGAGGAAGGAATCCACCCCCGCCCCCCCAAACCCTTTTCTTCTCCTTCCCTGGGTTCGGACGCTGGAGCACTAAATGAACTTGAATTGTGTCTGTGGCGAGCAGGATGGTCGCTGTTACTTTGTGATGAGATCGGGGATGAATTGCTCGCTTTAAAAATGCTGCTTTGGATTCTGTTGCTGGAGACGTCTCTTTGTTTTGCCGCTGGAAACGTTACAGGGGATGTTTGCAAAGAGAAGATCTGTTCTTGCAATGAGATAGAAGGGGACCTACACGTAGACTGTGAAAAAAAGGGCTTTACAAGTCTGCAGCGTTTCACCGCCCCGACTTCCCAGTTTTACCATCTATTTCTGCATGGCAATTCCCTCACTCGACTTTTCCCTAATGAGTTCGCTAACTTTTATAATGCGGTTAGTTTGCACATGGAAAACAATGGCTTGCATGAAATCGTTCCTGGGGCTTTTCTGGGGCTGCAGCTGGTGAAAAGACTGCACATCAACAACAACAAGATCAAGTCTTTTCGAAAGCAGACTTTTCTGGGGCTCGACGATCTGGAATACCTCCAGGCTGATTTTAATTTATTACGGGATATAGACCCGGGGGCCTTCCAGGACTTGAACAAGCTGGAGGTACTCATTTTAAATGACAACCTCATCAGCACCCTACCTGCCAACGTGTTCCAGTATGTGCCCATCACCCACCTCGACCTCCGGGGAAACAGGCTGAAAACGCTGCCCTATGAGGAGGTCTTGGAGCAAATCCCCGGCATTGCCGAGATCCTGCTAGAGGATAACCCATGGGACTGCACCTGTGATCTGCTCTCCCTGAAAGAATGGCTGGAAAACATTCCCAAAAATGCCCTGATCGGCCGAGTGGTCTGCGAAGCCCCCACCAGACTGCAGGGGAAAGACCTCAATGAAACCACCGAACAGGACTTGTGTCCTTTGAAAAACAGAGTGGATTCTAGTCTCCCAGCGCCCCCTGCCCAAGAAGAGACCTTCGCTCCTGGTCCCCTGCCAACTCCTTTCAAGACAAATGGACAAGAGGACCATGCCACCCCAGGGTCTGCTCCAAACGGAGGTACAAAGATCCCAGGCAACTGGCAGATCAAAATCAGACCCACGGCAGCGATAGCGACTGGCAGCGCCAGAAACAAACCCCCAGCCAACGGCTTGCCCTGCCCTGGGGGCTGCAGCTGCGACCACATCCCAGGGTCGGGTTTAAAGATAAACTGCAACAACCGGAACGTGAGCAGCTTGGCTGATTTGAAACCTAAGCTCTCCAACGTGCAGGAGCTTTTCCTGCGAGATAACAAGATCCATAGCATCAGAAAATCGCACTTTGTGGATTACAAGAATCTCATCCTGTTGGATCTGGGCAATAATAACATCGCCACCGTAGAGAACAACACTTTTAAGAACCTTTTGGACCTCAGGTGGCTGTATATGGATAGTAACTACTTGGACACGCTGTCCCGGGAGAAATTCGCCGGGCTGCAAAACCTCGAGTATCTGAACGTGGAGTACAATGCGATCCAGCTCATCCTTCCTGGAACCTTCAATGCCATGCCCAAACTGAGGATCCTCATTCTCAACAACAACTTACTGAGGTCCCTACCCGTAGACGTGTTCGCTGGGGTCTCGCTCTCTAAGCTCAGCCTGCACAACAATTACTTCATGTACCTCCCAGTGGCAGGGGTGCTGGACCAGTTAACCTCCATCATCCAGATAGACCTACACGGAAACCCTTGGGAGTGCTCCTGCACTATTGTGCCTTTCAAACAGTGGGCAGAACGCCTGGGTTCCGAAGTGCTGATGAGCGACCTCAAGTGTGAGACGCCGGTGAACTTCTTTAGGAAAGATTTCATGCTTCTCTCCAATGACGAGATCTGCCCCCAGCTGTACGCGAGGATCTCGCCCACGTTAACTTCGCACAGTAAAAACAGCACTGGGTTGGCGGAGACCGGGACGCACTCCAACTCCTACCTAGACACCAGCAGGGTGTCCATCTCCGTGTTGGTCCCGGGACTGCTGCTGGTGTTCGTCACCTCCGCCTTCACCGTGGTGGGCATGCTCGTGTTTATCCTGAGGAACCGAAAGCGGTCTAAGAGAAGGGATGCCAACTCCTCGGCGTCCGAAATTAATTCCCTACAGACAGTCTGTGACTCTTCCTACTGGCACAATGGGCCTTACAACGCAGATGGGGCCCACAGAGTGTATGACTGTGGCTCCCACTCGCTCTCAGACTAAGACCCCAATCCGGGTAGAGCAGGGGAGCGGGAAGGTGAAGCCCCCCACCCTCCACCCCCGCCGGCATGCCAGGGGTTAGAGGAGCCCGGATGCAAGTCCGCGTGCCCCAACTCTTGATGGACATAAGTAAATAAATAACTGAACTCGCTCAACTGAGAGGGTCTGACCCCTTAGCTCCCTTCTGGAAACAAAGAGCGGACTGTGTCTGGGAGAGCGCAGCCAGCTCGCTCTTTGCTGCGAGCCCCTTTTGAAAAGCCCAGCAGGGGCTCTGCTCAAAGAACTGACAGTGCCCTTGCCCATGGCAGAGGGGCTGGTGGGGATGGCTGCCGCGGTCCTATACATATATACATATACCTACATCTATATAGAGAGATAGATATCTATTTTTTCCCCTGTGGATTAGCCCCGTGAGCAGGGGGGCGTGATGGCTTCCTGTTGGCTACGCAGGGATGGGCAGTTGCACGAAGGCATGAATGTATTGTAAATAAATAACTTTGACTTCTGACTAAAACAAAAAGTGCTGCATGGCTCGCATGGAATCCACGCGCTTCAGGGACGCTGCCCTCCCCGGCGACTGGAGACGGCGTCACTTCACAGCACCCACTCTCTTACCTGATAAGTCCCATCGTATCAAACTTTCTCTAAACAAAATACAGTATAATCAGAAAGTGCCATTTCGCCATTATTTGTGATCGGTAGGCAGTTCAGAGCGTACGTTTACTGTGAAAAAAAAATGTAAAGGTTTTATTTAAGACATTTGCATGGCTAGTCATCAGTCCATTTTATGAGTTAAAAATGTATTTTGTTGAGCAAAGTTTTTACGGGTTGTTTTGGGTTCTTTTATTTTGATGGTGATGTTTTAGTTTTTAGGTTTTTTTTTTTTTTTTTTTGATGGGGAATATTTTTCTATACATATCCAATAATGCCTTCCATCTGAATGTAAAATAAGTACCCATGATTTCTATTATAGTATCAGTGTAATTATTTAAAAAAAAAGATTTTCAGGCAGTTAAGCATGACCAATTAATGTCACTCTAGTGCTTAGGCTGCGATCCTATGGTAGCAATTTTGTGCTGGTGTAAATCTTACTTATATAGTAGGAAAAGAGAACCGAGGAAGCACGTGAAACTTACTAATTCTATTCGAGGATTTTATAATGGCATATTTTTTCAGTATTAAAGTGAAAATGTTTTCAACTCTGGGTCCTTACATTTTTCCAGCTTCATATTTGCATCTGGTAAATTGGATTTGCGGTGGAAGGGGGAAGGTTGGGGGTGGATGCCTTCTAGATCTACATTGAGGCTCTTTCTCTAATCGTTTTACTTAGCTTTTCACCCTTTACCTAGAGCCCCTCCCCCTCCTCCCTCCCCGCCCGGACATTTCCAGCCTTCCCCTGCCGGTATAGTAAGGTCTTCCCTCAACACTACCTCCACCCCCCCCCCCTTTTTTTTCCTCTCCTAACGCGGCAGTGAATCCTTTTATTAACATGGAAATGCCCCCTCCTGCTGCTGCTACTGCTGCCGCGCACACCGCAGATACAGTATTAAGGATGTTAGTAGAGATTTGATTTAATTGACTTTGCCTAGATCGGTCTCATTAAACAGAGTGGAGATTTCATTGGTCAGCACCCTTCGATGAAAGACAGCCCTAATGACTGGCATTTGAGATGCTGCTGGCGTTTTGAATTCAACATCTGCTGAAAACGGTAAAACTAATTAGTGCCCACCCACCCTCCCCGCCCCAGCAACTGCATATTGAAATTTGTTAAAGCACTCATCTTCATGGAAATCAGTCATTATCCTAAGAAGGATTTCTCTCCCACCATTTGGATTTCTGGTTGGGGCCCAGTAATTAACAAGCAGAGCTTTTAACTGTTTGAAGTTTATGAGCCAATGTAACTCTGGCCTCAATCATATTCCTCTGGGATTTCTAAGCAGCCTATTTTATCAACAGGGGAGAAAAAGCAAACAAAACTACACATTTTGATGGGGTCTGCATTCCACCACATATCCACCCTTGAGAAGTGTGTTACAAGACTGCAGACCACAGATTTTAAAAAAACAAAAAAACAAAGTTATAGGATTGTAAATCCGTTAATGAAATCCCCCAGAGCAGTTGTAAGAAGATTTGCCTTCTAGAACTCATATTCTAAAGAGAGTAATTTCCCAGAACAATGATGTTCTGGAGTATGTATTATTTATTTTAACGCTTTTTTAATAAAATCTTTATTATAAACCATGACTATTCCTAAGGCCATTCATCATTTTCTCTCTTGATTCTTTTGTTTGTGGACTGCATTTTATAGAGGTAAAATTGTAGCCTACTATCCTCTGACAAATATTATGAATTGTTTATTTTTTATTTATTTTTCATATGAAGGCCTTAATTCTTTTTATGGAAAGTACACCTGGGCTCCTGGTAAACAACCAACGGATTTATTCATGATGGAGAAGTTGGGGGAGGGGAAGAGTCACATATTCAGCAATATTATGACCTTAAGAAGGAAAAGAAAAGCTGGCAGATGTTCTACGTCTCTGGTGGAAAGTGACACTTAACGAAAGCTACCTAGTGAGGCCTGGTAGTAATATTTAAAGTTGATACATGATTAGTCTAAGTAAGGAAACTGGAACTTCTCATAGAAGGCAAGAACTTTTCTTCATACTAATTAAAAATTACAGTATAGAAGCCAAGGTTGAAGGAGTAAAATTATTTTTAAAATATTAGCTTCAATGGTTTCTGAGTGGTCCTTGTGTGCCAGCAGTGTGCTAAATGATTTACATAATTATTTAATTTAAGCCTTACAACCACAGAGTAATTTAACACCATTGCTATTTCCACTATACCTATGAGTAAATTGAGGATTGAGGAGAGTCTGTAATAACTCAGATCATACCTGGTAAATAGTGGAGTTGAATTTAAACCTAATTTCTCTCATACTCCAAAACCTCATTGTTTGAATTGAGTAGTCATATGTATTTACCAGATAACATCTTAAAGAAGACTATTCTCTTTTTAAAAAAAAAATATATATATATATATATCTCCATAAAAATGCTATATAATGTATTAAGGACCTAGGTGTATCTTTTTGAGTATGTATTGGTGGTCCTTTATATTTCCAGTATGTCTTGCAACCAAAAAAAATTGTCCTACCTTTTAGAAGAGATATCTTTAGTGTGTTCTACAAGAGTGTATGAGAAGAAAACATATAAGAGAAAAGATGCATTGCTATATGAACTTAGGAATTATCGAAATTCAAATTATTAAAACTAATTTATCTATATATTTATTTGAAAAATATTAGGATCATTCGATGACTTCATGTAAAAGAACATTTATTATTTAGACAGATTGTTTATTCATTTTGATAAAGTATGTCTGTCATAGTTACATATATGTAAATCAATATATATATCATATACTTATTTTAGTTTGGTTTGCAGAATACAGTAATCTCACCATATAACTCATTTAGCAGTGCTTAGCTTCTTATTTTCACTTTGTCTTTACATAAAATGCTCACATAACTGTTGTTGCCATGTGCATTAGTTGAGATATCCTGTTTCCAGTTAAATCATCCTTTAATTCATTGAAGTAAAAGAAATTTTAGTTGTGCCAGATGGAAAAGGAGGAAAGAAGGAGATGTCTTGTTTAGTTCCATTGCTTTAAAGAAAGTAGTAGCTTCTGGGACTGCTGCTGTAACTAAGAATATCCTAGAATTTAAGTTGTTGCCATAGAAATTTATCGTTTAACCATTTTTGCATGTTTACCCGGAAGAAAGCTGGAATAGTTGATCTTAACATTACCATAGCAGGATTCTTTTTCTTAACAGTATTTATATCAGATGTAATTAGAATTGTCAGGCATTTTAATAAGTGTTAAAATTATATTGGCGATTCCAAAGACAGTTTGTTAAATTAGCTTTTCCCAGGTTGCTAATAAATGCTATTTGGTATATAGAGAGAAATGGATGAATTTGCAAGGGTGAACATGGAAGTGTGTTTTTTTAATGTGTTGGTGGAATATTAAGTAGAGTGGTTTCTAATTCAGCTCTTTTGCTAGCTAATTTTTAAATACGTTTTTCATCGGCAAGCTTATTTGAAGGAAAAATGGAAATATAAAATGTGCTAAAGATTTAATTTTAGCATGTATTAACTTTTGGTTCATTCTCTCTCATTTCAGTCTATTCCAAATGCAACTTATTATTTAATTTTTAAAAGATGAATTGTGTATCATATTGATAGATATAGTAGATGCATACTTAAGATTTAACACACATGATTTGTTTCAATGTGCTCCTGAACTATAAAAAAAGAAGGCTAAATCAAATGTTTCTTATAAGCCCCTGGCAATTTCTTTCATCTATAAATTCACCAAAAGTATTATTATAAAAAGTGAGATACAGGACATTAAGGACTTTGGAACTTAAAGAAATGCAACTGAATGGTTCCATGAAAGCATATGTTACAGCAGAACAATCCTGAAACCTGAAACAATGTTGACTCTGTTGTGACCTATCAAACTTTGATTGGGTTTCAAAAAGAGTAGAATAATTAAGAGAACAGATTAAGTCTTTAAGGACTACAATTTTATGATGACACAGACAACTGAAGAAATCATCTTAGATTGATGAAGCCCAGTATAACCTTTCGGCCTCAATTGATTGGTAATTTCAGCATAATGGCTTAGACTTCAATTGTCTAATTAATTACTCTTCTCCTTCCATTTACTTGCTAAATATATACTATATTACATGCTTGAAATATAATTATATTTCCTACTTGAACTTTGCACAAAAGTTTACAGGAGAAGAATTGTGTAATAGTTTTAAGAATTTTGAATGAGTTAGAACTTAAATATTCAATTCGCAACATTAAAATTAGGCACTTGCTACATGAAAAATGTTATAGGAGCTCTCTGGGGAAAGAAAATAAAGTAGTCCTGGGGGCCAGCCCGGTGGGGCAATGGTTAGGTTTGCACATTCTGCTTCTCAGCGGCCCAGGGTTCGCCAGTTCAGATCCTGGGTGTGGACATGACAGCACTTGTCCACATGTTGTGACCCACATGCCATGCTGTGGTAGGCGTCCCAAGTATAAAGTAGAGGAAGATGGGCAAGGATGTTAGCTCAGGGCCAGTCTTCCTCAACAAAAAGAGGAGGATTGGCAATAGTTAGCTCAGGGCTAATCTTCCTCAAAAAAAAAAGAAAAAGAAAAAGAAAAAGAAAAGAAGAGAAAAAGAAAATAAAGTGGTTCTAACCTCAGGGAGTTTACAACCTACAAAGATAAGATATATACTCTATTTTAATTGTAGAAAAATAGGACATCATTGGCAGTTTTTAAAGAATGCCACTAGAAAATTTGGGGGTTTCTTTTAAAGTAATTTAAGTTTGGGGCCATTTGGAAAAATGCAGTCATCATATGTGTTTCGTTGGCTGTTATGCAAATAGTTGAAAATCTTAAAACAAAATTTTAAAATATTGGAGTATTGAATCTGAAAGAGGTATTTT